TCCATATCCATATCATCCTCCCTTTAAGAACCCTTTATCATGGAATCTTGTTTCAACACTGTGCATGTTTAATCGTCTTTCAGGACAACATTCATTAGAAGAAGCGTTGTATACTTGCTTATCTTCTTGACCTGAGCAATGTTCACTTTTCACACATCACATAATGTGCTGATAAACATTTATATATCAATGATTTTTAATCATACAAAGCATATCGTGCTTAGCTCCTTGACCTAAGCAACATTCATTATGCAATAGTCATCAATCACTTCATCTATATACGTGCTTAGCTTCTAGGCTATAGTAACGTTCAAGATCGTTTCTTTACACCATATCACTACAAAAAACAAGGCACATTTTGACACTTTTTTGTACATATATTGACCTTAAAAGCGTCATAATTTTCAATTTTGATGCTTTAAAAAGCGTCAAAATTTTTGGATCCAAAATATTTTTACGCTTTTTTGTGTCAATTTATAAGTATAATATGTCGCTTTTGTGTGTCATCGCTAAATTATTATGACACTTTTTTGTGTCATTACTAAAAAATTATGACACTTTTTTGAGTCATTACTATCAAATTATGACACTTTTGTGTGTCAAATTGGGGGCTGTATTTCCCACCATTATTAATGTCCAAAAACTTGTGACGCTTTTGTTAGTCATTGTTTAAAAAATGTCTGCTCAATATGGTCCAAGTATTACCTGCCCTTTTAATATTAGAAAACGACAAATCAGAAAAATTAAAAATTAATTGTCAACCCAACCCCATGGTTGGTAAAGATACAACAATACACGGCATACAAGCCGGTAAAGAAACATAGTGGCATATTGCCGCAGAAAGTGGGAGGCCCGCCTAAGGCTGAGGTGGATGCTGCTGCTCCGGCTGATTGTGGCTGGTTTGGCCTTCGTCCTAATCATCCGTCGTCGGTTCCTCGTTGTCAGAGACTTCATATCCCTGCTCAGCAGCCCGATCTTTGAAACGAGGCGGAGGAGCCTCACCCAGTACTTGGGCATCATACACCTCAGTGGCGTAATCATACCTTAGCTTATAGACCTCAAAGTCTATATCTGGGTAGAGGAGGCTCCAAGTGATCTTCAGCCGAGCCAGATTGTCACGCTCATTCTCCTCCATCAGCCGTTTTTGCTCTAAGGCGAGCTCATCCGACTGCTTGTTCTGCATAGTGACAAGCTCAATCCCCAGGCGGGAAACGTCTGCTCGGAGATGAGTGTTTTCTTGATCAGCGTCCTCCAATGTCTTGAGCTCAAATTTGGCAAACTTCAGTTTTTGCTCAAGGTCATTAGCCCGGGTGTTGGTTTCATCGTTCGCATCCGTTAAGCTCTGGATCAGCTTCTCCTGTTTCAACTCTACTGCTTTAATCTTTTAATCACACATATAATTAGCATATTCAGCAGAGTTGAGGTTTTTAAGGGCCCTCCGTTTTGCGTCATTTACCTCTTCCTGCTTCCGCTTGAAGGGGCCACGGAGCCCGTCCACCCGAAGCATTACCTGAGAAAAGGAGCAGCCGGATTATGAGTTACTTAGTAGAATTAAAGGTAAAAGATATCAAGGTTATGGGATTCCTTACCTCAGCCAGTTGGCCCATTATCCGGTCGAAGTCCACCACCTGACCGGGTGAGGGTCCTCACTATCCGTTTTGCGAAGACCACAAGATCCGGCTCGTAGGATGTTAGATCTGCATCAAAAGTAGTACTCTGTGAGAAAGAGGCAGCATAGTTGGAATTCATCCGTTGCCGGCTGTTGACTGAACCCCCAGGTGGATCAACCTTAGTCTTGACTCTCAAGAAGTCAAGTGGCCAAGGTATTCCAATCTTTCCTTACCTTGTGTATCCGGATGGGGCGTAGGCGTCTGCTTCCCCCCCCCCCCCCCGGTTGTTGCTGCACCGTCTGCAACATTAGGTGGCTCGCCACCCTTTGATGCCGTAGAGACATCCGGTGCTTTCTGTTGCGAGCGTTCTGAGCTTTCGCTCAGAATTTTCATAACAGAAGGAGATTTGCCTACGGTCGTTGGACGATCGGATTTGGCAGCAGAGTTTGTCCAGGGAGGGGATCCTTCCTGGCGGCCTTCGCAGCCGGAGCTTTCTCCTGATCTTCTCCTTGCCTTTTGAGAAGCTTGGAAAAGGATCGTGGCACTCGCTTTGCAGAGTCCTGAGAAATGAACAAGGGTCGGCAAATTGCCTTAGTAAAAAAAATAATATATAAATAAAGTATATGTATATATACACATACAAAGTTAGGCGGTCGTACCCCGCCTTTCTTAGCTTCTTTTGCATCAACGGATGCTTTCTTGGCTATGGCAGCCTCTTTGCGCAGCAGCGCCGCCGACTTAACCGGTGTCTTTGCCGGGTCGACCATCTTCAAGGCGTCGGCTGCATAAATAGAATCTAAGGTTATAAGAAATTACGGCAAGTTTGCAATAAAAGTAAAAATAACAAATACTCCGGATGTGAGGTAATCTACCATTGGGAGACATGGTGCTCAGCCCGTATGCGGGCAAGAAGCATTCATCCTTGAAATAGTCCGGATGGTGGATCCAGTTCTTGGAAACTATAACGTGAGTCCCATCCCCCATGGGCTCAGTTGTGGTCTCAAAGAAGCCCGACTCTATTATTTGCTCCCGGGCCTTAGTCAATAGCTCCGGGAGAGAGCGTTTCCTTCCCACAAGAGCCGGCTATGTGTTATACCGGCGAAGAGTCCGGTTGTGTCTTAGAGTGGGGGAAGAAATCAAATAGAATTTGTCCTTCCACCGGGACCATTTGTACACTTTGTCCAAAGTCATCAAGTATTGGTGCAAGGTACTCAGAGTATACCATGCCCCATGGCCGCCTGGGGCCTTGCTCAAATAGTGCATTGGGGGTGAGCTTGGATTTATATTTTGGAACTCGCAGGCGGCAATGTAACTTAGAATGTTCACCCACAAATTGGGGGTGAGCTGCCAAACTCCTACATCGTACCCCTTTAGGATTTTTCTAATCCCGGGGTGGAGGGGGAACCGGAGGTCGGCTTCTATTACCGCCTCATAGCAGACAAAATAATGGTCTGCATTATCAATGTCATCGTCCCACGCCATTAATGCGTCAGCAGGTGGAACGATGATATCCCACCCCTTCCCAAAGGGGTGCTTCTCTTTAAAGGCCCTGAAGCCACTTCTCAGTAGGGCAATGTTACCCGACAGCATTCTAGTCCTTTTTGGGTTAGGGTGGTCATCAACTTTAGGCGGCTGCTGGTAGTCAGCCGCAAAATTATCTTGGTCAGAGCCTGAAGATTCGGCCCTTAACCCTTTGCCGGCCTCAGCATTGCCGGCTTCATCAGAGGAGGAGGCTCCCTCGCCATCTACCTCTCGAACTCCCGAGCTCCCGGAAGTAGAGGGAGCCTCTTCATAAGAACCACTCTCCTCCAAATCCCTCTGTTCCTCGTCTTGGACAACCTCATCGGCTGGCACTTCTATAGTGCGCTGGCTCCTAGATTTTCTGGTCGCTTGTTTGACTCTGGCCATTGTCTCCTGCACAGACACAGAGAGGGAGGAATTCGGAGATGAGCACATCGATTTTGACAGTCAAGAAAAGGCACCCCCTATTCTAGACTCAGCCGTTCCGGGGGACCGGCTGAGTGTCCTAGGCAGTGCCAAGTGAGTGGATGGAGAACCCATTTTTATTTTCTAAGACTATGTATACAGGCGGAGAAAGAATTGTATACAAGTTGAAAAAGAGAAAAGCTAAAATGGTACAGGCGGTTACCTTACTTTTTACTCTGAAAAATCTGAAAACCGCTACAGCTGGTAAAACCGGGTGTTGAACTGGCTAGCACACGGAAACTTGAACTTGTTGTGATGCAGACGGAGACAGAGAATCTCTCTCTTTCTCTCTCTAAAAAGTCAAAATGAACGTAAGGTGAGAGAAGGGGGGGGTAAACTTCTATTTATAGAAGGTGAAAGCGGGGGGAAATTTTGATTTGAAATTCAAATTTTACTACCGTTATAGTTCACCTTTGAAAGGTGGACATGTGTCACAGGCCCCATGTGATACGCACGTGAGCCCTGTGAGGGGCAAATGTTTAGGGTAAAAATACCCTAGACACGTGGACCAATGAGAGGAGGCCACGTGTCGAGTTCAGGATGGCTCACGTGGCTTAATATCCTCTTGACACATTGCCCCCTTGGATACATCTCTAAATGGCAGCCTTCAAGGGCCCAAATCCCAAGAAGCGCCGTAAAACGGCACAGCCCACCAAAATCTAGGTCAAGTGATCTAGATGGGGGCACATTCTCCAACAACCCTATAAATAGGGAGATATTTCCCCATTTTGGGGACACATTCAATCATTTATTACACCTACATTATCTCACATCAGAGAAACACCTGAGCTTGGAATCCAAGCAGATCCCCACCTAAATTTCCGTATTCTTTACTCTCTTTCAAGTTACTAACTTGATCGTCGGAGGCGTAGCTCCAACCACCCGGAGTCTCCGTTGTTTTGCAGGTAGAGCTCAGCCGGATCAGACTTTGTGATGTAACTCTCCCAAGGGACAAAATCACCCAAAACAAGGTCTACTCCATTACCAAGTTAAGAAACTAAAATATTATTTAGACGACAGAAAATACGAGAAAAGTAGTACTAAACTATAAAGGATTAAGGTTGCAAACAAGTATGAGAAATAGTTCTAGGTTTCGGGTTTTGCCAATTACTCTCAACAATGAAATTAAACTAGTTGTAGAGTTGAACATAAATAATGTAGCAATGATCAAATTACTAATAGCATGTAATCTCCTTTCTACTTCCCTGATCATAACTATTGAAATAAACTCATTAGGAAAAGGAATTCAATAAGACCACCCCAAGTGTATAACTATTCCCAAAAGTATACTACTTGACGTTTGATAATCCCACGAACTAGTATTGAAAGTTCACTCCCGCTAATAAATAAATACCTTAAACATACAATCAATTGGCCAAATTAATTATAAAAAATTAAACAAGATTATCAAATTGCATCATATAAATCAAACCCAAACAATACAATTCAATTCATAGATAGAAATAGAAATATAAAAGACTACATCCCTAACCTAGAACAAACGAAATTAGCTAGACATGGAAATTAAGAGAACACAACTAATTGATGAAGAATTGATACTAATAAACATATTTAATCAAACCAAAATCAACCAATTGCCTAAACTAAAGGGAGGAAGAGTAAACTACAATAGCAGAAGTTGGGCGTTGCATCAACACTCAGTCCAATCACGGCTTACGGTTGCTGCTGCTCCATCCTCTTCTCGGACTACTCTTCTCGGACTGCATCAACACTCAGTCCAATTTAGTTCTAACACGAGTTAATAAGTATATAAAATATTGACTTATCCGTACACAAATCGCATAATAACAAACGAACATAGATCAGATGAAAACGAAGAACTTAAATCGCAAACAAGTAAACGTATAATGACAAACTGAATTTTGAGATGAAACTGAAGAATTTAAAGGCATAAATACAAAGAAAAGGTAAATAAAGTGGATAAATTATAAAGTATGTTACCTTTTACAATGTAGATTAACGAGAAGATTAGGGTCCAAAAGGGCTTTTTGATGACAAAATAAAAAATGGCAAGTAGAGAAGAGGGAGGAAAAAGGAAAGGCTGGAAAGAGAGATGAGATAGAATGAGAATGAGCAGCGTGAATGAGAGAAAGATTATGGTGTACAATTAGGGTTATTTGTGAATTGATGATTTGGGCTTGGCCCATATTTTAAAATGGCCATATTTCACTACTACAAAATTGGTCAAAGAGACCCGTCCAAATTAGCCAAAGAGACTGTCTTAGAGGCGGTCTCTAGCGCAGCGGTCCCTTTGATAAAGAGACTGCTTTATTAGAGGTGGTCTCTAGAATGAGAAAGCTAAGACCGCCTCTTAAATATAAGCGGTCTCAATTTTAGGAAATTGAGACCGCCTTTATAAGAAAAGCAATCTCTATTTTCTTAGATAAACAGTCTCTGTTTTGAGAAAAGTGAGACCGCTTTTTAACTTCACGGGTCTCTTTGGTCTCATTTAAAATAAAAAAAAAAAAAGTATTTCTTTATAATTACAATTCGTCGATATTAATAAGAAATTATTTAATTTTATTTATTTTGCCATTATAAAATCAGAAGTAAAAAAATAATTCTTGTATTTCATATACCTCAAAAATTATGTACATAGTACATATTTGAATGAAAATTCAATACATAAAAAAAAAAATCCGAAAATGATAACTAAAATTCCAAGATCTCCAGATCTTCAATTGCAGATTTCTTCGGTTCAAACTTGAAAATTGAGAGATCGTTACCTACAACCACAAATATACACAAGTTCAAAAAAAAATAAAAGCAAATATTATTATCCGAAAATAAATCATAACAATGACAGATTGAAAAAGAAAAAAACAAAAATTTTAAAAACGAGATATAAAATAAAATAAAATTCGTTTACAATAAAAAAAATATGAGAAATTGTTCGATTTAACTAATGAAATACGAGATCTAAAAGTAAAATTCGATTTATTGACAATGAACACATGCAAAATCAAAGCAAGAAAAATTATACTAATTCCAAAGACAACTTAAAGAATAATTCGTCAAGAAATTCTCAACGGAATAAAAAATAAAATAAAAATAAAAACAGAGCTTAAAAATAAACGTTGAAATCGAAATTGAAAATGGAAACAGAAATACAAATCAAATACGAAATTAATAAAGACGACAATTACTAGATCTGACTATGAAAGTTGTTTTTAATTTAAATGAAAATATTATAATAAAATGGCAAAAATAGCATTTGAAACGAAAACATTAACAAGCAAACAAACAATCTACTATCATGGCTAAACGGAAAATCGGACAAATTATTGTTTTTTAACAATAAAAAAGATGTTGAAAAGCAATAATTCTAAGAAATTTAGAATTTTCATTAAGCAAAACCGAAAAACACTCACCTTGGCCAAAGATCTTGAAATTTTGAAACTATAGAGTGAAGATAACTTCTTAAAATTGAGAAAGAAGTGAATGATAGTAATTATTTTTTATATTTTGTGCAAGATTCGCTTGAGAAACAGAAAAAATGAGTTGAGGAGGAGGAAGATAGATCGATGTGAGAAGGGAGAAGAGAGAGAAACAAAAACTGGAAATGAAGAGCGGTAGAGAGGTTTCCGGGGTATGCATGACCATGAAGTCTAGGAACTTTCCGGGCTGAAGGCCATTCTGCATCGCAAAAACGGCTAGCCCCTGGTCCAGCTGAGAGACGCTGGATGACTCGTTACTGAAACGGGTCAGATAGTCTCGGAGGCTTTCGGTTTCCCCCTGTTGTAGACTCATGAGTTCTGCAGTAGTCTTCTCTCGGCGGTTTGCAGTGGAAAACTTGCTCCTGAATTTGGAGGACAGATCATCCCACCCTGTTATGGAGCCTTGCTTTACTCCCTTGGAGATCCACGCTTGCGCGACCCACTTGAGAGTGGTTGGGAAATATTTGCACCAAGTCGCTTCGGATCTGGGGCAAAGATGCATATGAGTCTCATACGAGGCCACGTGATCCTTCGGATCTGAGGTCCCGTCATATGCGATGTGCGACGGTATTTTAACCGTGGGCACGCGCTCTTCCAGTATCCATTGCTCGAATGGTGAACTGGCGGGTAGCATAACGGCCTTGCCCTTGTTCCTGGCCGTAGGGACCGCGCTCCGCCCTCTTAGAGAGGTAGGAGTGGTTTTCGTCCCTGGCTGGGAAGTCTGGGCCTCGGCCGCAGGGAACGAGAGGCGACTGCGCACGCTCGGTTCCTTGCCGCCGAGTCGGTCGAGGACGCTTCGGCGAACAGTCTCAGGTTCTCGGTGAGTAGATTCTGGCCGAGAAGCTGAGCTGCTGCTCTTATGCGCTTCTGGTCGTGAGGATGAGGATCCTTTTAAAAATTGAGGGTTCTTTTTCCTCTCTTTTTCATTTTTCCAGGTATCCTCTTCCCACTCTTCCAGTTCCCGGAAGGAAGGAAGCTTCCCACCATCATGGTCTAGCTTCCTCCGCTGATGCCGGGTATGCGGAGGAGTTCGATCACGAGGTGGTGGCATATTTTGTGCCCTCATCGCCTCCATGAGTACTGCCAGCGCTCTTGCCACCTCTTCCGAGCTGGGCCCCGTCAAAGGGGTCCTCGGCCGAGTATGGGAATGAGGGCGCACAGCCGATGGTTGGCTTTGGGGCACTGAATGTGTCCTATGATCGGACTCACCCCTGCTAGACCGAGAGTGACTCGGCCTATGATGAGAGTCATGAATTACGGGAGAAAGGGAATCCTCCTTGTATGATCCTCCCCCCGAGCTGGCACCCTTGGGAGAGTTCCGGTCCGGCGAGGGTGATGGTGTAGGGGTTTTAGGCTTTTCGCCCGCTCCTTGACGGAGGCCTTTGATCTTGCGGTTCTTAGCCATTGCTACTAAGATTATTGCAAGATGATCTTGGTTAGAAATTTGGCTTAAAGATTTTTGAAAGTCTTCCCCACAGACGCCGCCAAATTGTTTCGGGTGAAAACAATGGGACCTTGCCGAAGGTCCGATGAAACAGGGAAGACTAGATTCGGTCCAAGTAATGTTGGGCCGAAGGTTTCCTGCACAGTAAACACACGTAAACTAGCCTCGGGGGTGTTGCCGAGGAAGGCCCCTCCGATGCTAAAGTCAGTACAATGTGTAGAAAGAGAACACTATGCAAGAGAATTAGTTTCTTGAGGCTTTGCTTGAATATATGAGAATATATGAGAGTATATGAGAATATGTGAATGAATGTAAATCCATATAAAGATGTAATATTGATGGCTTTTATACCTCTTCATACATGGAGAAGTTGGGCCTTAGCCCAATTGGCTTGCTTTGAGGGCTGATCTTTGACTTTAGCACAATTGGAGAGTTGAACCTTGACCTTGGGCTTTTAATTGGATCATTTAATGCCTAGGCCCAATTGGACTAAATTGGACCCAAACAATAATCATTCCCTTTTTCTTCATCTTCTTCTACTTCTGCATCTGCTTGGCCTTGATCTGCATCAACAGGATGTTCTTGCACTTGGTGCATTGTAGCATGGTCTTCTTCATTGTTAATCCTAATATCGCAGTCTCCAGCCTCATGTCCATCCACCGAGGCTACGCTTACATTACAACCCTCACCCTTAATGTGTGATGACTCACCCACAAATCGCCTCTTCGCAGGAGGAATGTCATCATCGCTACCGCTATCAGTGTCGACTACACTATCGCCCTTACCATAACCGATTGTCAATTGGTTTCCATCCCTCTTGTCTTTAATAGGATTGCTGGGAATGCCTAACTGCCTTATAATGGACTCGAGTTCCTTCAACAGAGCATCGACCTTCCGAATTATGTGAGCCCGAACTTCGAAAAGTGCCTCTAATTGGCCATCGATGTTATTTCGAGGGAGGACTTTAGGGATTGGAGGACCACCAATATTTTCGGCATGACCAACTATTACAATTGATTATAAAAAAAATTAATTTTGCTTTGTTTTTGACAAATGGAAACAATAGAAAATGACAAGCATTTGGGGGGATAACTGATGGAATACTGTGCTTTTTAATGGATTTTTACCAACAGTCGCAGCCTTTCACTTCCAATTATATCAAAAAATATAAACTAAAAAAAAAGGGAAAATAAATTGGGAGGGGGGGCCGGGGCGAGAGGGGTGGTAGGAATCGAACCCTAGGTCGTTATAATTAGAGTTAGGTTGAGAATTGTGAAGAATGTAGACCATTGGGACAATACTACCACCGTGTGATATTTGCTAATAGAAAAATATATATAGTTGTTTCGAATAGTAATTTGAAATTGGGACTGTAGACACCCATTTGTGTCTCCCCAAAACCAAACACAGTGATGAGTACCTTTCGTGTCGAATCACAATCGAATGAAGTGAAAGTGTGGAAAGTTTAGTGTTGCGGATAGTTTTAATTTTCTTTTCTCTTCTCTCTGTTTTTGAAAACTTATTTTAAGAAAACAGCCAATAAAGTTTGGTTGGTCCATGATATGGGTCAAATAGTAGTGTAGTTAGATAGGGCTTGACAAGAGCTTTCCAACGATATATTATAAGCCCAATTTCGATGAATATTGAGGAAATTATGGCCAATTTACTAAACTAGGCCCGGTTTGAGCCTTATATACGGCCCAATGATCTTAGGGAGGGCCTAATATGATTTATCATTCCTAATGCAATTAGGAATGGTTTTAGTCTTTTAGATTCTTCTAGAAGGTTATTTTCATTCCTAATTCAATTAGCATTGATAAATTGTTTTTTGTTGACTTTTCATAGTTTTAATTAAAATCAAAAAGTATTTTCGAGGAAAAGATACGATTTTATCCTCCAGTACGGCAAACTTATCTGATTTTCAAAAACGCGTCAAAAATAGGACTAGCGCCTGACGCCAGGCATTGGCGCCTAGAGCTAGGCCTGGTGCCTGGCGCTAATAGCGCCTGGCGCCAATCAGCTGGTGCTAGCGCCAGCTCTGTTTCACGTGCGCCAATACTCTGTTTTGTTAATTTTATCTTTTTGGCTGATTTTCTCTATAAATAACGTATTAGAAACTCCGTTTTCATTCATCAATAACCAGTTTTCATTCGCAATCATCAATTCTCTCATTCTCTTTAATCATTCACCATATCTTTCTCTCTTTTTCTAAACTAGCTTTTCAAATACAAAATTCCGCATTTATTAGATCTAGATACACCTAGCCATATTCGAAGTTGCTTTCGCCCTAGACGTGAAAGGTATAATTTCTGAGGGTTTGGTCCCAAATCTCTCTTTCAATTATTTAATTTGATTGTTTGTTTATTATTTTCCTTGAAGTTACTAACGTGTGTATTTTGTTATTAGAAAGAAGTACGAGGCATTAAAGTAAGTACTTTAATGGTTTTTATTTGCTTTATGATGTAGACATCATGTTTACATCGTTATTATGATATTCCTAGTATCATGTCTAAGGTAACTTTGATATTAAATATGATTGTTACGATGCTTCCTATGTTCTTCCTAATTTTTATGATTGTTAGTATCATGTTAGGGTTAAAGATTTGATTTTATTGTTTAGTGACATGCTAGGGTTTGTTATTAATCTAGTTAGTATCATGCCTGGGATCTTTCTATTATTATGCTTTAATATTAACATGAACATGATTATGATTATAATTGTTATAATTTATGATGATTATGAATACTATTATTATTATTATTATTTTGATGATGATTATTTTATTTATGGTTATTATTGTCATGATTATGATTATAATTTTATAATTATGAATATTATTATTATGATTATTATTCATGATGATTATAATTAATTTATTATGTTGCTTGATATTTATTGCTTGATCACACCTTTTATGCATGTTTAAAGGGAATTTTGGGTACTTGTAATCACGCTTAATAAGATAATTAATAATCTTATTTAGGGTTAATTTGATTATAATTCTAGTGATCGCCAATAATAGTTTATTTATGCATTAAAATTCAACCAACATAGATAAACAGGTTTAGTTTAATCCTATTGATTGTATGTTAATCAAAAAGCGCACATGAATACAATCAGAATAAAGTAGAGGCCTATTATTAGGGCAGGTTCAATCTCTTTTAGGTTGGATTTGTACCTTCATCCCCAAACCCTTATTTGGTTCCAGACCTTATGGAGTTGACGATCTCTTGGATCGTTAAGGTGTGTAACCTTCACCCTGTGAACGGTTTACAAGTTCCTAAAACTTGTTGGCGACTCTTTTGCTCTATCTTCTTCCCTTTTGGACGCCACCGTACTCTAGTGTATGATCACAGTGGGGTTCAAGCAGGGGGTTAACGCTTGAAATTTATTCCCTAGAGTTTTTGGCGACTCCACTAGGGAGGATTTCTATTTTAATTCCTGAATTTGTTTCGGCAATGATTTAGAATGAGCGGATGAGACTCGAAACGTTCTAAGTATTTCATGTGCGTAATTTTGATTAACATTATTGTCATATGCATAAAAAAGATCTCATTGGAAAGACCATCCGTAATGACTTAAAAACATAGGATTTTACACGTAGGAAATTTGAGAAATATCTTTCACAACTAGGACCGAAATAACACCGCGCGAAACTGGAAAATTTTATCGAGCACAGAAAGATGCTGAAGCATGTGGGAAGTTGCGCCAGGGGCCAG